CAGCGAGATGTAAGGAAGGAGGGCAGAGAAAGGGAGGAGGATGGAGAGCCTAGACGGTATCCTGGTTTCCAACCTAAGTATCTGCAAAATGACCACATTCCTTATAAAGTTGCACTGTCAATGAGATTTCTCCCATTCTCCTGTTTCCAGCTGTCCTTGAGACAAAGGAAAATGGCTTTGAGGAGAACTGACTCCTTCCATATGTCCCAGCTGGTCCAACAACGGTAGCAAGAGCCAGATGACATGTGACTGGGACAGACTTGTACAATGGAGTAGAGGCAAGCTAGAGCTGGAATCTCCTACAGTGGGTGGTTTGTGACAGAATTCTGGCCTTGGGTACCCAAGAAAGCCACCACAATCATTTGCTGTGTCCACTCCCCTCCACAGATAAGGGAACCAGTTGTCTCAATAGAGTAATTTCTCCACAGTCACATGGCCAGAGTAGCAAGTTAGGACTAGAAGCTGACTTACTGTCTTAATAATCCAATACTCCTTATTGTTCTACCGGTTACTTAGTGGTGTGTGGGATATGCATACACATGTCTTCTTGAGACATGAGCCCCGTCCCCCATACCTCTTTAGACAAGATCTGTTTAACACAGGCTAACCTTATTTATCCTAGGCGGACCTCAAATTCCCTAGCTAAGGGTGAAATTGAAATCCTCTATTGCTGCCTCTATCTCCCAAGTGCTGGAATCACAGTTGTACATCACCATGTCCCATGCGTGTGGTGCTGGGGATCAAGTCTAGGTGAGCATTCTTCCAACTGAGCTACATCCTCAGTCCAGAAATGAGACATTTTTTGAAACATCTTCTCTATGGAGTAACCATTTATTTGTGACGGAGGATAGTTGGCTCATGGCTTCATTTCTACGCAGGCCATCTTAGAGTTTATTTGGGGTAAATTATCTTTGTCGGGGGCTGAGATTTGTCAGTCTCCCCAGCCACTTCTTTGCATTGCCCTGAAAAGACATGGACCAGATCTGACACCCTTTTTATTTGAAGCAAACTTAATAAAATTCATAGTTTGTAAGCTAGCTGGGGTGAGGGAGAAAACAGGAAGCACATAATATTAAGAACTCAATAAATATCTAAGTGGAAGTAAGAGGCAGAAGGTGGATAAGAGAGAGAAGAATGGCCTTGACTGGAAGGGGCAGGTGTTCCAAGATGAGGTCGCATTGTGCTCACTTACCAGGGTAGCTCTTAGGAATTCCCCTTGCCTTTCTCGATGGGCTGGTCCCAGGAAGGCCTTGAATGACACTGGCTCTGCAGTCTCAGCAGGCTGTGCAAACTGGAAAAACTCACTGGTACTGGGTTTTCTGCTTAAAACTCTTATGCTGTGTTATGACCGTCTCAGAGGCCATTACACAGTCTGTCGATGTCCAATGCATGGCTTGAAACGACCACACAACAAAACCCACAGAGAAGACAATAGAGACTCCTCTTGTCTCCAGGGAAACCTACAATCCATTTCGGATATTTCTTTTCCTTGCTCACAAATTCCTCCTCTGAAGGGAGCCATCTGGCAATGTTTCCATTTGTCCCCAGGGTCTATATTGCTCAGGGACCCCATTCAGAGTTTCTTTATGTTCACACTGCTCCAGAGGCCAGGGGATAGCATAAGCCAGAGTACAAAATAGCCTTCATTTTCTGAAGTGGGACAAGCAACTGAATCCCTAAGAGGAGACATTGGCATATGGAGCACTCCATAGGACAAAAGGTCTATTTGTTTGTTGTTCTAGGAAACCAACAAGAGGAAATATATTTTAGCACCAACCTAAAAAAAAAAAAAAAAAAAAAAAAAAAAAAACAGCCTGCCTCAAACATGAATGGCAGCCAAGACAGTAAGAGAAGGCTGAAACAGACGAGGGAAAAGAGCTGGGTTGCTCCAATGATAGCAGGGATGGCTGGAGGCCATGAAGGCCATGAACCAACACAAGTGCTGTGACCACCCTAGTAAAGTAGTCAATCGCTGATCATAGGTGTCCCTACACCCGCTGAAGGTTGTGCAGAGTTTTTGGAAGGAAATGGAGGTAAGCAAAGTATGTCTGAGGCCACTGAATTACTGGAGAGAGAGAGGCACAGAGAGAGTCTGTTTGTTTGTGTGTGTGTGTGTCTGTCTGTGTGTATTTGTCTCTCTGTGTGTCTGTCTCTGTGTGTATGTGTGTGTGTCTCTGTGTGTATTTGTCTCTGTGTGTGTATTTGTTTCTGTGTGTGTGTGTGTGTGTGTGTGTGTTTCTCTATGTGTGTGTGCAGTATGTGTGGCTATGTGTGGTTGATGCAGGGGTCGACTGTCCGCACCTTGACTTCACAGGGCATGCTCTGTTTCTGCTGTTGCTGTTGCAATTGCTAAAATATCCTGAAATCTCTGTGCTGACTTTCTGTACTTTTCTGTGAGAAATTTCTGTACTTTTTAGCTTCTGAACTTTCAGTCTCCTAACCTCCATTTCTCAGACAAGTTTTCCAGTTTTCTATTGAAGAGATAGCTACTTATGCTAAGAAGATTTAGACAGAATGAGAAGCCATGTAAACAAGCTGTCAGTGTATAATGTCTGCAAAGCTATAAAAATACAGTCAGCTACAGGACAATGGCACATCCACAGTATCCTGAGTGATACTTCACACCAACGTAGAGGATGGGCCATAATGATTGATGAGGCTCTATCCATGACCAAACCAAGGACATAGCGCATCAGATGCAGAGATGTTGGGCCCGCATTTTGCTGGTATTGTGACTGGAAAAGTTAACCATATATTCAAGAAATAGAGGCAAAGACACAATGCTTGGCTAAGGAGTTAGAACAACTCTCAAAGAAAACAAGAGGAGCCTGATGTCTGTGCCCTTTACTGGGCAGCAGCCTTCTGCCGAGATGGTCAGCTCGTTCGCCTGATTTCTTCTAAAGAGGAATGGCCTTTAAGCCGGTTGTTCATACCTGCGATCCCAGCGCTGTGGAAGCTGAGGGAGGGAGACTCTGTGATGCTGAGGCCAACCTGGGCTACATAATGAGATATGAGACAGCTGGGACTACAGAGCAAGACTTTGTTTCAAAAGCAAAAAGAAAGAAAAATAGAAATAGTCTTTAGATATATTTGAGTGACTAGAGACAAGCTGGAACTTTCCTAAAGGTGAAACTAGTGGTCTGGGTTGTGGTGGACGAACGTCCTCTTTAAGAGTTTCCAATTCAAAGTACGATTTTATACAGCCTATTTAAGTTCTACTCCTTGTAAAACACTTAACGAAATTCTGTTTTCTCTGGTTCATTTCCTTCTGTTTCACTTCTAACACACTTGACTCTTTCCAGGATACTGAGATAAAAGTTATATATTAATCTCTGGGCTTTCCATCAATAACTTCTGGGACCATGATGTTTTTAAGGAGACACCCTATAAAAGGCATGAAGTCAAGGAGCCCTGAAAAGCGTCAGAACCAACCTTTGATTTTGCCACTGGACAACGCAAGACACTGGAAGGTGAAGCGATTTAAGGGGACAGTAACCCACCATCCTGATGATAGGTAAGGATTCTTCTTACCTCTGGTGAGTCCTTTCAAAAAGTAAGTCTTTTGAGATTTTGATCCCTCCCAAAATTAATGTTGCTTAATCACCCTAAATACAAAAGATGAGTCCATTGATCCTACAATGGATCTGGTAGAAGGTAAGTGAGGTATCAAAACATGCTGAGTAAATGAATAATGATAATATTGGTTTAATTAGACCTAGTTAGAAGAGCAATTCAGACCCACTGGGGGTTAAGCATGCACAGGGCTTGGAGTTGCACCTTCTGGGGCTAAACCAGGCTGGCAGACTGAAGGTGGAAAGTGGGGAGGGGGTAACTGCCATGTCAGCAATATTGCATCAACTACTCCGTGACATTTGATAGCTTCCTTGTTGCATCTGCCTAGAGTCACTGGGTGTTCCCTGCTGAGCCTGAATGTGTCCTCTAAGTCACTTCGGCCTCTCAAAATCCTTCCCTCTGGGCCTTTCCCATAAGTAAATTCTTACAGGAGGATATAAAAGACAGATGCGTCTAAGCAGAACAGTTCTCTAGCTGCCACGGGAGGCCCGGGCGCATGGCAGGTAAGACACGTTAACCTTTCCTGATTCCTGTAAAGCGGATGATGAAACTTCCTGAGGACTGAAGAACATGCGGTCCTAGATTAGACTTGTCTTCCTCGGGCATTTTCTGGTGCCAGATTTACCTACCAATTGGCAACTTCTCCCTGTGGGTTGTAGGGGATGACTAAATCCGCTGCAGGGCGAGAAGCCTTTTCTGCATTGGAAACCAGGCAGAGTCATAAACGGACAGGTTTGGAAGGCTCCGCGAACCTTTCTCATCTGTGCTGTTTGGAAACTGAGGCCCAAGACAGGTGTCCAGATCGCTCAGAAAGTGGGAGACAGTTACTGATGTGGTGTTCTGTGGACGGACATGAAATGATAGCTCTCCTCTGTAGTAAGATGATGTAGTGTTGCACAGCCAGCACTCTCAGATCTTCATCTTCATGCCGGCTGGCTGCAGCAGATCTGAAGATCTGAGATTAGTCCCTGGTGTTTCAAACACTCTGAGGTCCCTCTGGGTCTCCACTAGGTACCTGAACTGTAACAGTATTAGATAGGCTTCATTTGGGAAGGGTTGGGTTGCATTGCTCTTTATGTAACTGGCTATATTCAGCACATACCCAGTGCCTCACCTCCAGCTGGGCAAAGGCTTATTTCTGCTGGGGGTGGGGGGACTTGAGAAGAGTCACTGAGAATATAGAAGGAAAATAAACCCAATCTCAAACTCAGTTTCTCTTACCGGCCTGTCCCAGCCTGCTTCTGATGTGAGGTCTGGGAGAATTCCCCACCCACCAGCAAGTAGCTGGGTGCCAGCTGGGTGTTCCTAACTCCAGTCAGTTCTGATAGTCTCTACCTGGAGATATCAGATCTCGCCGAGAGCTCGTCCCCAAGGCGCCAGTCACAAGCCCCAGGTTGCTCTGCCTGTGCTTATGACTGTGCCCCCACGATGCCTCCTCAAATTTGATCAGCTTGCTGGAGATGCTCAGTAACTCAAGGGAACACTTATGTTGGTTATTTCAAGGGCTACAGATGAAAGAGTGCATGGGGCAAGTAAGTATGTGGGAAGGCGCATGGAGCGTCTCTGCTCTCTCTGGGCGGGCACACCACCTTCCAGCAACTTCCACATGTTCAACCATCTGGAAGCCCTCTGGAGTTTTATGGAGACTTTTATGGCATAAATACGAGAGAAGCCCAGACAGCCGGCTAGACCTACTGCTAATAGGCTGAGCAGGGAATCCCAGCAAAGCTTGTCTGTTGAGATTCTTCTTAGCTTCTCTGAGCAGCATTCCTCCTGAACCTCCCAGACACAGAGCAGGCCCCCTCCTGAAACGGGAGGGTTATGGTCCATCAGCCGATGATGAAGTTCTGAGAATTTCACAGTCAGTGCCAATACAGAAAGTTGGGTGGGTGTGAGGCAAATAGAGAGTTTCTATGATGTTCCTCAGGAAAAAACAGTCACAGCTTCTATATCCTAGTGAGGGAGTCATGAACCAGGAACTACTGTGGATGAAAATCTTGTGTGTGTGCACGCGCGTGCATGCGTGCATACATGTGCATGCATGTGTGGTCATATATCAAGTGAGATACATAATATATGAAACGTGGAGATACATATCATCTCTTGTAATACTGCAGCTATCTCCTCTCTATTCAGGAGCTGTTTGAAAGGTCAAACCCTGTTCTTCCTGGAGATGGGTTTATTGGTTTTCCAAGTGGTTCTTTCCCCCATCAACTTCAACAAGGGTCTTGCCATTGGTGGAAATGAATTTCACAATTCCTTCCCACTCAGTCTTCCAACTCTGGAAGGTCACAGTGCTCAGTGCAGTGTGGTCTTCAGAGCAGAACTATTGTCTGTGGCCTTGCTGGAGGTGTAGACTCTGGGCCTCCTTCTGCCACCGTCTGAGCCAGAGTCTGTATTTTTCCAAGCTCTTTAGATGATTCTTACACATGCTACAATATGAGAAATTGGCTAAGAGACTATCAGCACTTTGACCCCGTGCAACCTCCAGTTGCCAAGCTTCTACACTGATTCAGTATGTGTTCAGGGCTGTTCTATACAAATGCTATGCATAGACACACAAGAACCCAAAAGAACTAAGGCATTGGCTTCCAGGAACTCATAGTCTCATATGAAAACAGACATGAAAAGATATGAGCAAAATACTGAAGTGGGGCAGGAGGGGAATGACCTGACTTTTCCCAGAGAAAGTCAATAAACTCCAAAAAGAAGGGGGCATCTGGCTGGGGTGTTGAAAGCATACAGGAGTTCATGAGGCAGAGAGGACATTGCCTGAGTAGAGGCTTGGGGCTGTGTCTCCTGCCCCAACACACACACACACACACACACACACACACACACACACACACACACGGGGAAAAGAAGCTGTGAATCTCTCTGTCTCTCTTCAGAGCATACTGAGTCTCAGGGAAAGATGAAGACTGAGGGTTTGGGACATGCCTAAACTGAACATGAGGCTAAGGATGTAGGTAAACACATTAAATATCATAGATACCCAATACTAGGTATGCTTTACCCATGCTGCATTCTGCTACAGACAGAGTCTTTCCAGATTGTTTGCACACCTGTTTTCTGTCATGACCCCATATTTGCCTGACTCTGCTTTTAGCCCACAGCCTTCCTTCACACCAGCCAGGAACCTGGGTCATGACACGGAATATAATTCACCTTTGGCTTTGAGTTCTAGCTTCCTCTTCCTAGTAAAGAAAGTATCCTGGAAGGAGGAGGAAATGGGAGGGTGGGTATTCAATGGGTCAAGAGTCTTGGCTTTACAAGACTCAAACATTTCTAGAGCTCTGTTGCGAGCTCAGCATTTCTGTGTTGTGTGGTTTACACGGTTACGGTGATGCTGTTTTGTAAATACTGGCAAAAAACAAAAACACCTCAGCAATACTGTAAAATCACATTTGTTTAACTCAACAGATACTGTGAGGGTTCTCCTGCAGTCACAAAGAAAGGGTAACAGAGAGGTGTTACCTTAATCCTTGTACTCAGGCAGAGACAGGAAGATTATGAGTTCAAGGCCAACCTGGGCTACAGAGTGAGTTCCAGGACACCTGGGCCTACACAGAGAAAACCTGCTTTGAAAAAAAAATCCTGGCCAGAGAGATATTTATTCATATCTTCTCCCTTTTTCTAAAGTTAGCTTATGAAAGCTACATTCAACAAGGTAGTGGGAGGTCTGGAGGGGCAGGCATGCTGCTTAATCGTTGGGCACTTGCCTAATGTAGACATACCCTGAGTCACCAGCAGCGAGGGGAGAGGGAGCGGGGGAAGAAGAATCCAAGGAAGGGATGGAGGAAGAAGAAACAAGACTGCCCAAATTTTAGTCTGGTGATTTAGGCTTAGAGTGAAAAGTCATGATGAAGATATGAACGTAGGAACTGAGGCTCTGCAGGCAGCCCCAGACACGGCTGTGGGCCCAGGGAAACTCAGGTTTGTTTTCTTCCATACGTTCCCGCCAAGTTGATTTTCTGAGGGAGGGGAAAGCCCAGTGGAAATTCTGAGGAACGGTATCCCGTGCCACCCAGGAGGAGCCTGGTTAGCAGGAAGCAAGCTGTCTGGAGAAGGGATGAGAACTCCAGAGCTAGCTGTGACGTAACCAGCCCAGGCTCCCCAGGCAGAATGGGACATCCTGGGTCATTTGACCCTGCCCTCTTACTGGCAGGCCAATGGCCCAGTGTTAAGTAATTTGCCCAAGCTCAAGGTGCTGGGAGGGGCAAATGCAGAGTATAACTCGGGGCCTCGGACCCTCAAGCTTCTTTTCCTGCATCTTTCTGGCTCTCCCAGCCTGTGCACACTACAAGTGTTCCTGGCTAGGGCATCTGACTTCACCCCAGCTGTCCCTGTTCTCTGAGAGCCCATCTCTTTCCGTGGAGTCCCACTGAGGCTCCTAATATGATCCTGGTCTCATTTCAGCGATGAAAATCTTGCTGTACCTGCCAGCCCTCCTGGCTTCCCTGACCTTGCTCCAAACAGCAGTGTCTGCCAGAAATGGTAAGTGCCATACTGTATTCGCTTCTTGGAATAAGGCTGGGACAAAAGCACTAGAAATTGTGTGGTTGGAGACAATACAGATTTAGTCGAACATCCCAGAAGGCTAGAAATCCACGATGAAGGTAATGGAAGGGCCACGTTCCCCCTGAAGGCTCTAAGGGGGTTCCCTTGCCCCTTCCAGCTTCCGGTGGCTCCAGATATCTTTAGTATCCTTGGCTTTGTAGCTACCCCTGTCTCTATATGCCCTCTCTTTTTGTCGTTTCCTAAGTCCACCATTCACTGGACTTTGGGTTCATGATAATTAGCATGACCTCATCTGAATTAATCATATCTGCAGAGACTATTTGGAAATAAGGCCACCTGCTGAACTTCCAACCAGACACAGTTCACCCCACTGTAGTCTCCTGGCAGGGAATAGTCACTGACTCTCTTACTCCACACCCCAACCTGGGGGGTCAAGGAGCACATCTTTGCTTCGGCGTCCTGGCCTTCCTTGCTCCGCTGTACTCTCTTTTGGGTAAACTGATAGGAGACCATCTCACCAGAAGCCAGGAAACCCAAGCTGAGTGGCCACACTGGACACCCTATTGTCCTCTTCCTGTGCACACTGCTGGAATTTCAGAAAGCAATTTTGACATCCTGTTAAAGAGCAGACTGGACTATTTCCATTCTGTGCCACCTTCTTTTGAGGCTCTTGTTCCCAATCTGTGGGCTGGGGCCCCTTCGACGGGTTGAACAGCCCTTTCACAAGTGTCACCTAAGACCATCGGAAATACCAGATATTTACATTGCGATTCATAACAATACAAAAATTACAGTTGCAAAGTAACACTGAAAATAATTTTATGGCTGGGAAGCATTAGGAAGGTTGAGAACCAGTGCTTGCAAAATGTCCTTGATTCCCTACCTGCACTGGTTTGAGAGATGAGGTGGTGGCTGAGAGGGAAGCAGAAGTAAGGGGAAGCTCAAAAGAATGCTGTGTGATACCCTGCTTCCGGCTTTTCCCGCCCCAAGCTGCAGCTGCCAGAACTACCACCATCCGTGAAACAGTGGATGAGGTCAAGGTCCAGGTCAACCAGGCCTTCCTGGATTCCCGGACCAGGTAAGCAAGACACTGGGACATGTGTGTGAACTCCCTTCTCAGACTTCCTGTGACTGACAAGTGTGCCTAGACCAGCCCCAACAAGTCAGGGAGCCAATGCAATTATAAAACTTGCCTTTCCACCATCCTCCACCTCCAGCAAGTATGTAGCAAACAGGAACAATAGCTTCCAAGTCCCAAAATCCCAGCTTCTAAGGGGCCTTGAGAGGACATCTAGTATAACTCCAAATGGACTTCCCTCTTTGTGGCCCAGGGTTCCCTTTGGTTATGCCTGCCAGACTCAGAAAAATTTTCATTTAACTCATATAGTCTGACTTGGGTCAGTTACTCCAGAAACAGAACCACGAGCATGGAGTTCATGCGGGTAATTTACTAGAGACGTGTTCTCGGGGAAATTGCCACATAATGCAAACTTAAGTGAGGATGCAGTTTGAAGTGTGGCCTCAGCCTGATCAACCCACCACCACCCAGAGAGACCTAGAGTGTAATGTGTACCATGGAGCCTGTTCCACGTCGGAGCAAGGATGTAGAGCTTTCCATACCCACATACCCACATGTGGTTGATGTGACCCCTGACTTGGGACTCCAGTGGTAAGGAGTTAAGCACCCTGGTGCTATTACTGGGAACCACTAACCGGGCAGCCACAAGGGCTCAGGAGCAAGTGTCAAACAAGGCTACAGGGCTGCACCCACAGCAGCTGAACAAGGGGCACACAAACCCTCCTGATGGATCTGAGGCACCTGATCAACAGATTAAGGCACCATCCACTCCGTGAAGGGACTGGGACTCAGGAAACCATCAATTCAGACCAGGTTCTTCCCTCGGGAAGTCTACCTTCCATCAGTAGAGCTGCTGAAAAACAGGAACAGCCATGTGGTTAAGCCTGATGATGCAGACCTGTGGTCAATCCCAGCTACTCGGGAGGCTGCTGTAGGAGGATGGCAAGTTCAAGACCAGTCTTGGCTATAGAGTGAGTTCAAGGGCAGCCTAGGCAATTCGTGAGTCAATAGGATCCTGTCTCAAAAGAGAAATGGAGAAGAGAGCTGAGAATGTAGCTCATTGTCACAGTGACAGAGTGCTGGCCGAGCAAATGCAAAGCTGTGGGTTCAGTCCCCAGTCCGGGGGAAAGGGGGATGGCCATGGCATTGAGCAGAAGGCACCTTTAGTCCTCTATAGTTTTGTCTCAACCTCATCCCTGGATGAGCTCTCTATTCCATGATTTTTATTTTGGTTGACTTTCAGATTGCTTTTAGTCCCCAGAAACAGTATTATTTTAGGAGTGCAAAGGTCAGTTTAAGGAGATAAATTCCCAAGCTGCTGACTCCCTTGGCTCTGAAGTGCGTGGGCTTCAGGGGCTTCAGGACTGCCTCCCCTCCTTGGGGACTGAGTGGAGAGAAGAGCAAGGAAGCCAGGGATGGCAAGTCTACCAGTCCTGAACAGCTCAGTGCTTAGTGGGGCCTCTCTTCACCTACTTTTCTGAGTATACCAAGAAATCTGTTACCAACTCAAAGACCTGGAAAGTTCTCTGGCCTGCACTGAGAGCTCCAAACCTGTACTTGGGGTATCTGGCTTTAGACCTGACCTCACCCTCTCTGAGCTACTGAGATACACTGTCTCAAAAACAAAAAAAAGAATATGCTAGGTGTTGTGAGACTTTAATCCAGGCACCCAAGAGGCAGAGGCAGGCATACATACTAAGTCTGCGTATCAAGGCTAGCCATAGCTGTTGCATGATAAAATCTTGTGGGTCTTTTGTTTTGTTTTGTTTGTTTGCTTTCTGTTTGGGGGGGTAGTTTAGTTTTGTTTTCTTTGGAAGGTTGTTTGTTTTGTTTTGTTTTTTTGAGACAGGGTTTCTTTGTATAACAGCCCTGGCTCTCTTGGAACTTGCTTTGTAGACCAGGCTGGCCCCAATCTCACAGAGATTCCACCTGCCTCCGAGTTCTGGGAGGAAAGGTGTGCACCACCATGCCCAGCTTTTTTTTTTTTTTTTTTTAAGGGAGGTTGGGCTAGGGCTGGCCTGCCTTGTGCTTCGTGTCTCGTCTCATTAATCCCTTGGGATAAACCATAGCTCTGCTAGCACTTTAAAGGGAGCTAATGGCCTAGTGTGACCAGCCAAGACAGGCATTACAGCCCATGAGTTAAACACAACTAGAAGGCGGGGTTTGTGAGAAGCGGAGCTATTTTCAATATTTCAGAGCATTGGAGACCTTGTAGAGAGATCCTCACACACAAGGAAACTGAGGCACAGTGAGGCAAGGAGACCTTCAAGTTCATAGCCTCTCTGAATTGCCGTAGACTTCAGAGTAGAAGGCCTTGGGGACTCTTGTTTTGCACGTGTGAGATAACAACCTGAACGTTCCTGAGACCTTTGACATTAGGCTGAGTGCTTCTCGCCACAGACCCCACACTAGTTCTAGGGCCAGATGCTTGGGCAGAACTGGAGGCCCATTCGTGTCTTAGTCCTAAAACTCTTAGGTTATAGGGCTCAGCATTGTGCCAGGAGTTCTCAAGTCTGTATCCATCCATTGGAGGACCTGGGTGGTCTTAAGGTGCCCCGTTGGTTCTGACACAGCCAGCCAGGTATAATGTTCCAGCTGGAGTTTGGCTCTTGATCCATCGCCCACCAACTTTACTTAAGGCCATACTTAACTATGCTTCATAGCCATTGTGGTGTCCTTCCCCCCAAAGAGGTTTTCCCAGCAGCATCAGAAGAGACAAGAAGGAGGATGCTGAGAGCCTATGTTTACTCCTCAGAATCCCTGCCCCCCCCCCCGTTCACACACTCCCTTGCACCTCTCCTATGAGCCACAGAGCCAGTTAGTTCATGAGCCCCATGTTCCTACTGTAGGCTGAAGACTGCCATGACCACCCAGGCTCCTACCACCCGTCACCTCTCAGGGTATCTCAAGCAAGCCAAAGGCCGGACACGCACAGCCATCCGCATCGGGCAGGTGTGGGAGCAGTCCCTACAGAGACTGAGGAAGAAGGTGCCCTTGACCAATGTCACAGGTACAGACAACTCACTGGCCTCTAATGACAGGAAGGGATCATGAGTACAGACAGAGGCCAAAAGCTGCTAGGGACCATCTACACAAAGAGGCATGTCTGTCTTAGTTAAACCCGAAGGCCATACTGGCTGGGCTCAGAGGGCCTTCGGGGACAGCTAGGCCAATGTCCCTTTTGTAGATGAAAGAACTCGTGACAAGGTTAAATTGCCAACTGATAGAGAAGGAACATCTGTGCTCAGTGTGTTATGACAGTTTGTAAAGCTTCTGCCTGGAGGGAATGCCAAAGTCAATAAACAGGGTTTCTGGCCCCAAACCAGGGTTATCACGACTGCAGACAAAGAGGAGATGTAAGCCACCAACGTCATATGGGATTGCTCTCGAGAGGTGAAACTTCTAGCCTGTTCTGAGGAACACTGCTGTCACCTCTAGTCTGATTCCCTGCTTGTTGCCAGTGTCTCAGAACGCTGCCCTGTTTGGGGTTCTCTTCTGTTTCAGGCCAAGGCCTGGACTTGACGTCCCTCTCTTGGGAAGTGGGCTGCGATCACCCGGCTCCAGCAGTGACTTGCAACATAAGCAACCCTTACCGAACCATTACCGGAGACTGTAACAACAGGTGACCCTTCCAGCCACCACCCCAGAAAGCATCTCTGCCCCTTGGACAGTGCAGGCACAACTACTGGATCCCTTTGAAGAGAACCCATCTCCAGTGAGGCTACTGGGACCCAATAGAAGTCGTCCTTTCCATCAAACCTTGGGAATGGGAAAATTCAGAACCCCACAGTGCAGAGGGTCCCTCCTCCACATCCTCTTTTCCTCCTGCAGAGCTCAGGTTCGGGGCACCAGGGTGAAGGCAGGGTGCCAGAAAGCCACTTGCCAAGGCTGAGAGCTGTCTTGCTGGGTTTCAGGAAAAATCCAGAACTGGGATCCGCCAACAGGGCACTGGCTCGATGGCTGCCTGCAGAGTACGAAGATGGGCTCTCCCTCCCTTTCGGGTGGACGCCAGGGAAGACGCGGAACGGCTTCCCTCTCCCTCAGGTGAAGGAGGGCAGGGTACAGGATGGGAGCCACACACCACAAGACAAGCACCCTTCAGGGAAAAGGGAGGCCCAACTGAAATTAGTACTTGCTCCCTGGAGATACGTTCCCGGAACTGCCACGAGAGGGAGGCAGAGTCCGGGGCCCAGCCAGGTGGTGGCAGTAATGTCCCAACTGTTACAAGCCCGATACCCTGTAGTCTCCCAGGCAGATGGTTTCCTTGCTCTATTCTACTTGCGCCTACCATATCCCAGCCCCTGGAGTGTACCAGCTGTCATTTTACTGCAGGTCTGATCTGTTGGCCTCATCTGAGTTGGCAGCCCCTCCCCAGGGGCTTCCCATGCCCAGAAACCTGGCACGTCTGCCACAGGCATATCAGTGTCAGCTTGCCTTGGTTTTCTCTCTCCATAGTGAGGGTGCTCGGCCATTGTCCAGTCACACAGACCTAGGTTCAATCCCATCCCTACCCCTTTGTAGCTGCAGGACCAGGTCCATTGACTTCCCTGTCTAAGGTCTAGACCTCATCTACAAAGTTCTATGCATCCCACCTCATATGCTCCTGTGGGGATTGCATCGTAGATCCTCAACAATCTGTGTTGAATCTGACTCCACAAAGCATGCTTTCCTCCAACCTGACCCCTCTCCCCTCTGTGTGCAGCCCCGCGACGTCTCCAACCAGATCCTTGGCTATCTGAATGAGGAGGAAGTTCTGGACCAAGACAGATCCCTGCTCTTCATGCAGTGGGGTCAAATTGTGGACCATGACCTGGACTTCGCCCCTGAAACTGAGATGGGGAGTGACAGCCACTCCAAAGCTCAATGTGATGAGCACTGTATCCAGGGAGACAACTGCTTCCCCATCATGGTAGGCCTCTGCAGCCAGAGAGATGTCCCTGACATGCCCCACTCAACTTCCATGTAGCACACATTCCCATCCCAAGGATCAGGATCTCTTGATAGCTGTGGTGCCTACATCATAGCTTCATATCCATTCATGTGCTCACCCATCTACGAAGCAGTTAGACATTAACAACCTACTCTGTGCCAGGGAATGGCAGGAGCACTAGAGATTGAATGGTAAGATGCTGTGTTTTCTCTCAAAGACAACAGGCTGGCGTGGAAAAAAAAGCATGGGAACTATTGAAAGAATTGGGAAGTCTGAGCTTGTCTATGCCCCCACCCAGCAGCATCTAAGTCTCCTGGGGACTTAATAGAAACCCAAAATCTCAAGCCTCCCCCCAGATGTTGGGAGATAGAGTCTGCATTTTATCAAGACATATCCACCCATTCCACCCACCCACGCCATGGGGTTCCTCCTAAACTTAGTTTGTGGAACTCTGTTGTATGTTGCCCTGAAGGAAGACTTCCTTTCCCAGAGCTGGAAGCAGATGAGTGACTCTGAGCATCAAGGACACAGAATGTCCAGCAGGGGAGGAGTCTCCTCTTCTTAACTGTAGTGTTTGCATTTAGAGAGGTCTTTGTTTACTCAGGACAACAAATCAAGACTCTGTGTTGTGGGCTGAGGCTGATCTGAACTTGAGTCTCACCTCTCTCCCTCCTAGTTTGTGGGTGCTGAGGCAAGTTCATTCATTGTGGCTGTCTCTCATGTGTAAGAGACTCACAGGCTCTCTGGGGGACAGAATGAGGTGCAGCATGCATGCAGGCTGGCATATGGAATTCCAGGCTTGCTATTTCAGAACTAATTACTAAGTCTCGTGTCATACACTGCTTGCCTGTCTGGGACTCTCGGGGAACCCTGCCATTTCTGAGCTCTTGCCCTGAAAGAATGAATCATTACTTTCCACTCTTACACATCAGGGTACAATGAACTTTGGTGTGTTATGGGCCTGGGGAGTGTAATGTCAGCAGGAGGCATCTAAGGCCAGTGTCTGGCAAGAGTCCCATGCGGGTGCATGAGCATCTTTTCAACCAGACTGACCCTGGGAAGGGTGGCTAGGGGACAGATGTTTTGACCTTGTGCAGTCATTTCCCAACCCATCTCTCTACAGTTTCCAGAGGGTGACCCTAAACTGAAGACTCAGGGGAAATGTATGCCTTTCTTCAGAGCTGGATTTGTCTGCCCCACATCACCCTACCAATCCCTGGCCCGAGAGCAAATCAATGCTCTAACCTCTTTCATGGATGCTAGCATGGTGTATGGTTCTGAGCCAAGCCTGGCAAATCGACTTCGAAACCTCAGCAGCCCCTTGGGTCTCATGGCTGTCAATGAAGAGGTCTCAGACCATGGACTGCCCCTCCTGCCTTTTGTCAATGTGAAGCCGAGCCCCTGTGAGGTCATCAACAAAACTGCTGGTGTGCCCTGCTTCTTGGCAGGTGAGTAGAGCCTGGGAAAAAAGCAAGGGGCTAAGGAACAAAAGGGCTCATCCAAGGAAACTGCTCCGTCTCAGCATCTTTCCAGGAAAATGCCCCAAGCCTCCTCTATCTGTAGCTGAATTAGCAGTAGAGAAAGGGTCCAGATGAAGAAAAAAATCTAAGAACAAGTGTTCACTGTAGAACAAAATAAGTCCAGAAAAAATGCAAAGAAAACTCCCATCATCCACAAATATTAGTTATTAGTATTTTAATACAAACCTTTCTTGTATTCTCTATCACAGGCATAGTTCTAGCCCAGTCCCATGGAGGCACAGTCCCATAATACCACCACATCCCACGGCCTGTCTGTCTGTCCCTCTCCACCTGACTTCCTTTAGACTGCTTGAAAGGGGGACTTTGGAGAGTCCTGGGGGCTCCATCTTCCTGTGTGCAGGTTCCTGGTCCTGCTTAGAGAGAACTCTTCCTCCTGCCTTTTGGACTTTTAGGAGACTCCCGGGCCTCAGAACAGATCTTGCTGGCCACATCCCATACTCTCTTCATCCGGGAGCACAACCGACTAGCCAGAGAACTGAAAGGACTCAACCCCCAATGGGATGGTGAGACGATCTATCAGGAAGCCAGGAGAATCATGGGAGCCCTCATCCAGGTATGGAGGAAGGGGCACCTGGGGAGTTGGCCGTGTGTGGTCCCTCCATAGCCTGCCTCATTGCTGTCACCGAGACCACAGCCTCACTCGTGGGGCTGTTCCCTGGCAATGACTTCAGCTATTTTAATTTCTTTTCTTTTTGAATTCGCTCTCCATAGACATATTCGATTTTGGATTGCTTTATCCACTAACTGAAAGAGACTTATAAGGTCTGTGTGTGTGTGTGTGTGTGTGTGTGTGTGTGTGTGTGTGTGTGTTGTGGTTTTATTTGATTTGATTTGGTTTGGTTTGAGTTGATTTAAGATAAGGTCTCACTTAGCCCACACTAGCTGTGACCTGATACTCCAGCCTCTACCTTCCGAGCTCTGAGATTGTGAGGGTTCAGCATCATATCTGGCCACTAAGATGTTAGACCTTTTATATTGTCCTTAGGGTCTAGTTTGCAGAGGTTCTGTATTAGCCCATTTTCTCCCTCTTGTGGATTACTAAATTCTACTGATCTTTCCCATGTCTAGCCTCTGCCATTTCCACTCCACTGCTGAACTGACTCAAGCTTATTATTGCTGTTATTATTACTATTATTTCAACTAGTGTGTTTTCAGTTCTATAATTTCATTTCTTTTTTTTTTTTAACTTCTTTGCTGAGATGTTTTTCCTTTTCCCACGTTTCAGGAAAATCTGTATTCTGATGAGGCATTTTTAAGATGGTGACTTTAAAATCATTATCAGCTGTAGGGAGGGTTGCTGCTCAGTGGTAGAGTTCAGGCCTAGCGCAGTTGAGACTCTAGGTTCAATCTGAAACAGTGCAGCAAATAAATAAAATATCTGTGTGTTTATCTGTGTGCTTGGGGGTGTGCACACATGTTTGAGGGTTTGCATGTTCATATGTGTATGTGGGGGCCAGAGGTTATTCTTTCGGAAAGCTAAACACATACTTCAGCTTTGAACTTACAAAGTAGGCTGGACTGGCCAGCCCGCAAGCTGCAGGGATCTTCCTGCCTCTGCCCCCTGCCCCATTTCTGGGTTCTGGGGAGCAAAGCCAGGTTTTTGTTCTTGCAAGGCAAAGTGCTCTACTGACTGGGCCATCTTCCCAGCGCTGCATAAAATCCTTACTACTCCTGTCGGTATTGGCATCAGTTGATCTCATTTTCTCACTCAAACTGTGACTTTCCTGGTTCACGGTGTTACTGAACATTGCAGTGACTTTAACACTACCTGAATCTTGTCATCGTGACCCTGCTTAGGTTTAGCAGGTAGGCTCTAGCGTGCTTTTGCTTCCGTTCCCATGACAGCTTGGTTCTGAGTCTTTCCAGTGCCCAGTGGTCCATTTCATCCTTCCAGTGCATGTGAACTTCCATTCCATTCCTGCTGGTCCTGATTCAGGGCACCAAAGCTGGTTTTGTCCCCCCCCCCCCCCCCCCGGCTGCCTGTTGTTGCTAAGCAACCTCCTATAGAAGCAGAAGCCACCATGCCTGGGTCTCCTTGGTGAAGAGCCAAGGATGAGAGGAAGCAGGCAGTGTTTCGCTGTCCCCCACAGAAGGTTGAGATGGTCATGGCCTGGCCGGAGGAGCAGGGAAGGCCTGACTAGGGTTCTCGGTGGCTTGGTGTGTGAGATAGGGGTTGGGGCTCTTTGCTAGTCCACACTGTATTTCCCTGGCCCTTGGTGTCTGAAAAGAGAGCAGGCATATCTTGACTTCTTTTTGCATGTCTCTGTTGGAGGCTTCAGGCCACCAAACTCATCTGCGTCCAGTTCAGTCTGGGAGAATAACTCACCACATTCCTCAAATTCTGGTTCTCCAGGCAGTGCATGCATGTTCTTCTTTTAGCTTTCGGAGTATTTTCTTGAAAGGAGGTGTGAGATCCCCAGGAGAGGGGGTTACAGATAGCTACGAACCTTCTGGTATGGGGGTTGGGAACTGGACTCGGGTCCTCTGGGAGAGCAGCAAGTGCTCTTAACCACAGAGCAATCTATCCAGTTTCACCAGTCCCATGTTGCTCAGGCTGGACTCAAACTCACTGTGTAGACAAAGCTGACCTCAAACTCCTGATCCTCATACCTTCACACCACCAGTCCTGGGATCAGAGGTGTGTATCACCGCAGCCATGTGTTATTGTTGTCATTTAGGGTTGTCTGATCAGGTGTGTATCACCACAGCCATGTGTTATTGTTGTCATTTAGGGTTGTCTGATCAGGTGTGTATCACCACAGCCATGTGTTATTGTTGTCATTTAGGGTTGTCTGATCAGGTGTGTATCACCACAGCTATGTGTTATTGTTGTCATTTAGGGTTGTCTGATCAGGTTGGAATAGCAATCTCACTATGTAACCCAGGCTGGTCTCAAATTGGAAAATCTCCTGCTTCAGCCTCTGGACTCCTAGGACTAAAGACAGGTACAGACACCAGATCAGAGTCCTTTTTTATATCCTGTTGAATAATTTCCAGGGTATTTAGTTACAATAAATAGAGAAGGAAAAGGAAAATAAGGCTATACCACCTTGTTCTAAAACCAAAGGACATACACACAGCCCTATTTTTAATTATTAAGATGACCTATGTCCATATAAAATATTGGAGCCAGAAATTCTGTTGCTAAAGCACAGAGTATCTAATTGAAACAACCAGTTAGTATAAGCTATGTGCAGATATCATGAGAAATAGCTGAAAGGATGTCTGGATTGATTAGCAATGTCTGCCATGGTCATAGGAATGAAAGCTGGGTACAGATGCTATCCATTTGCTCTTCTCTTAGCAGCAGTTCCTCTCCAGCCTGCCACTGCAGAGAGGTTTACACCTTCTCATGTCTTCCCTCTGGACTTGTTTCTCCTTTCAGATTATTACCTTTAGGGACTATCTCCCCATCCTACTGGGTGATGAACTGCAGAAGTGGATACCCCCGTACCAAGGCTACAGGGAAACTGTAGACCCCCGAATTTCCAATGTCTTCACCTTTGCTTTCCGCTTTGGCCACTTGGAGGTCCCCTCTACTATGTCCCGCCTGGATGAGAATTACCAGCCATGGGGTTCGGAGCCTGAGCTCCCCCTGCACAGGCTCTTCTTCAACACCTGGAGGCTGGTGAAAGATGGTGAGTCTTCTCAGGGAAGGGCTCTTGCCTGAGCCCTCTCATTCGCCAGTCAGCTTGTAGGGACCCCCTGGTATACATCACCTTCCAGACACTTCCCCATGTGACCTTGGTCAAGGGAATCCACCTCACTGCCTCTTAATTTCCTTGTTTGTAAAATGAGGGCAACGACAGAACCCATGTCATCTGATAGCAAGTGAAATGAGATAAATGTGTAGCATACCCTATTGTGACTCCTAAGACACAGGAGTGATTAGTAAATAATAGCTATTTCTTCCTTCTGGCTTTTCACTTGTGTAAGATTCGTCTGCCTTTTCCTACCCTAGGCATCACTGTGCTCTGAAAACAGAATTTGTGAGCTTGGTAAATTGTTCTGTTCTAGAACCTTCTAACTCCATGAGGTGTCATAGGCTGAGTGCAGCTTTCTTGTTCCTCAGTCCAGACTGACTTTCCTTCAAGCTTAACCAGTTGGAGCTGTTTCCTGAAGATACATGCTCCCTCTTCCTCTAGGGGAGTGTGTGGGAGATGAAGGAGCCAACTCCATGAACTAAAACACAGAAGCAAAGAAAATCCTCTTGTTATTCATTCATCCATCATGATGTGCCCTTTTCTGTCACTTCAGAGACATGGACTCCTCTTACCCTGGGACAAAGGGGAGGCTGTAATTTGCTCTTCTCTCCCAACCTCCAGCCAGACCTACCTGGCCGTATCCATTTCCTATTGAGAGAGGGTATCTAGGGCAGAGAGGGCCCAGCATAGAAGATGCTCTCACCCTATTCCTATCTGAAGGATGGCCTTTGGTGTCCCTCTGCAGGTGGAATCGATCCTCTGGTTCGAGGCCTACTGGCCAAGCAGGCCAAGTTGATGCGTCAGGATAAAATGATGACAGGGGAACTCCGCAACATGCTGTTCCAGCCGAATCACACCATCCATGGCTTCGACCTAGCTGCTATCAACATACAGAGGAGCCGAGACCATGGACAGCCTGGTGAGTGGGTCTTGGGGCTCACCTGGTCAGAGGAAGGTTTTGGCTACCTTCTGGGGCTCCTGGACGTTCTCCTCTGGAACTCCAAGGAGCCAATTAATCCTGAAGCTATAAATATGCCCATTTTAAAAACCCACATAAGTCATCCAGGAAATGGAATCTTCTATTTTCCTACTGCAGAGATGTGAATACATGTCTTAGTGTCACAGAAGAGGAGAGCAACAACCAACATATTAAACCAGAATAGAAGCACCACATACGGTGCTATCAACGTGCAATCCCAACACTCCAGAGGTCATGGCAAGAAGACTGTCCACTCAAAGTTAGCATAAGTCCTGCAGAGAAACCTTAACAGAAAGAAAGAGGAAAGGGGAGGACAAAGGGAGGAAAGGAGGGAGATCTGGTGGAGTTTTTGCTTGTACACATGAAAAGCAATTTTGTTGTTACTAAGAGCTAGGTTGCTTGAGTTCAAATCCCAGCCATGCCATTTACTAGTTGCCTGAATTGCTTTTCTCATTTGCTATGAAAATATACCTGGCAAGCACAGCTGAAGGATGGGCTTAAATCGGCTCAAGGTTTGAAGGTGCAGTCAGCCTGTCCTGCAAGGAAGGCGTGGTCTCAGCAACATGAGGCGGCTGCTCACAGTGAAACCGTGGTCAGGAAGAAACAAGAGATAAGATGCTGGTGCAGCTCCTTCCACTTTGTGTTCAGTCCTCAGGCTGGTGCTGCCCCCGCTCAGGGTGTATCCTCCCACCGCAAATAACCCTATGGAGAAACCTCCTCATGAGCATGCCCAGAGATGTCTCCAAAGATAGTATAGGTCTTGTCACACTGACAATCAATATCAACAATCACACTAGCTACAGGCGAGCCTCAACAGCTTTGTTCTAATTGTTTGCATAGCACTTGGTACAGCGCCTAGACCCATAGTAAGGCACAGGTAAGCTGTCAACACTCACCCAAGATTGAAGAGCCACAGATGAAAAGACATGCATTAAATTTACCTTGTCCTAAAAGCTCTGATCCCAGACTTGCCCAGCTTCTGGAGGTAGAACACAAATGACAAGCCCCTGGGATGAGACAGCCCTATCTTCCCTCCCCTAGGGTATAACTCCTGGAGAGCTTTCTGTGGCCTGTCACAGCCAAAGACACTACAAGAGCTGAGTGCTGTGCTAAGAAATGAGGTGCTGGCCAAGAAGCTGATGGATCTCTATGGAACCCCTGACAACATTGACATCTGGTTAGGGGCCATCGCTGAGCCCCTGGTCCCCAGGGGTCGGGTAGGGCCTCTCCTGACCTGCCTCCTGGGCCAGCAGTTCCAGCGGATCCGAGATGGAGACAGGCAAGTGAAATCACTGTCTGGGGCAGGAGTCCCCAATGTTCTTCATGGGGTCTGACTCCATACCCTGCCCTAGGAGGCATTTCCCACGTTCCCAAGGATGTCCTTTGGCAGCGTGGGAGTAGTCAGCCACTGGGCTGTGTGATATGATCCTGCTCTGTCCTTGTAGGTTCTGGTGGGAGAACCCTGGGGTCTTCACAGAGAAGCAAAGGGACTCTCTACAGAAGGTGTCCTTTTCAAGGCTCGTCTGTGACAACACTCGCATCAACAAGGTCCCGCTGAACCCATTCCGGGCCAACAGCTACCCCCAAGGCTTTGTGGACTGCTCTGCTATAGATAAGCTTGACCTCACGCCCTGGGCCCCAGTGAAGAAGTAGGAACCTCCTGCCCACAGCTTCCTACACGGCACATGCCCGTGGTCCAAGATGCCATTTCAAACAAGTTCAATGACCTGATCCTTTCAAATTGGGCACCCAGGTTCCAAGTCTTCATTTCTCACATCCTCCAGATAACGGTCAAAGGCTACCTCAGCCTTTCTAACTCTTCCACTCCGCTCCCACCGCTTCTAAGCCATCATCACAGCCTGTGGAAACCATCCTCCAACAAGATGCCCTTCCAGCTTTTCAGATGTCACCTGCCCTCTTCCTGAATGAGCACTGGCTGGGGCTGTGACCTCTGACCCCTATGTTTTCTCCTCTCCTCCCAGACTAGATAGATGACAAGCATCCTGAGCCAGAGACTGTCACCTGCTTCTAGGTGTGGCTTGTGGCACTCAGCATTGTGTTCACACAAAGTGCTCAATAAATATCCAACTGCTCCTTCCTAGGAGCAGGCTTTGCAACCACTGCGTATAAGTAACTAGATGTTTAGAGTCTATACATGTCATATTGCTAAGAGGTCCTGAGCACCAGTCAGTCTCATAGTAACTGAGTGAGAGGTGCAAGAGCTCTCACTCTCAAAGCAGGGACTGGGCAAGGGGCTTCTGGGGGAAAAAATGAGTGCCACAGGGCGGTAAGAGAGTGAGCTTGGGGTGACGCTGCTGTGGGTAGCATGGGTAGCCAAGCCTGGATTTCCCAGGAACTAAAACTGACCTTGTCAGTCCTCTAAGAAACACCCTATCCAGCCTGGACAGTTCCGCCTGGAGTCTGTCAAGCTTCCAAAGTGGCGGCTTCAGAACACTCCTTGTGCTGTGGCCCAATGTGTATTTATACAAACTTTATTTTTTTATAGGGTCTCACTTTATGTTTTAGGTGGGCATTGAACAGACTATGTAGCCCAGAGTAACCCCAAATTCTCTAGCCTCCTAAATTTAGATGATTCCAGCCTTCTTAGTACTGGAATATACTACTATGGCCTGGTTGATATTCTTTAAAAAAAAAAAAAAAAAAAAAAAAAAAGGATGAGCACTGGCTACTCTCCCAAAGGACCCTGGTTCAATTCCCAGCACCCAAAACGCTACTCTCTACTGTCTGAAACGCCAGTCCCAGAGGATCCTATGCCCTCTTCTGGCCACTGAAAAGTACTGTATGCACGTGGCATCTGGGCACAGTGCGGGCAAAATACCCATGGATATAAACAAAAATCTAAAAATAAGTGAATAATAAAGTAAAGAGACCCTTCAGTGTACAGGGCCCTAGCTCAATATTAGCACTCTAGAAAAACAGCTAATGAACTGGTTGGTTGGCTAATTAATTGACTAATTAAATTTACCCTTGCCAGGCCTGATGGTACAGGAGTATCATAAGGTCAATATTGACCCATGCTACATGGCAAGTTCAAGGGCAGCCTGGACAACTTACCAAGACCTTATCTCAAAATAAAAAAGGGCTGGGGATGTGGCTCAGTGACAGAGGGCTTACCTGGCATACACAGAGCCCTTAGTGCAACATCAGTGCCAAAGTGGGGGGAAGGGCTCTATAGGCAAAGACCAAGCAATCAGAGAGTCATTTCCCCATCTTTGGGGAGTGCCTGGGGCAGCCCTTGATCATAGCGTTGCTCTGCAACCCTCCCCACACCAGCCTTGGAGGAGGCTCCCGTCGTTGAACATCTCTCTCCTCCTTAGTGAGGTTAGGGTGAGACGTACTCGTCCTGTTGCTCCCTACAGTGAGCCTAGCTTTATCTCACCATCAGCTTCCAGGGGTCCTTTGCCACATGTGAAAGTGTGCCAGCCCATTACAGGCCAGCTCTTGACAAGGTCACTGGCCACACACACCTCCCTTCCCTGGACACTGAGGTCTGATCTCTTGAAACCTGGACTAAAGAGACATCTACCCCACTTGAGGACACCTGAGCCACTCGCTGTGCTAGTGGCCTCCACTCTCCAGGCAAAGCCTTTCCAGAACTCAGCTTCCGGTACCCCTGGATAGCACGTTGTCCTCTCCCCATCCCAGAGTCTGGAACAGAGTGGGCAAACAGTAAACATGGACTGGAGCAGGAAACAGATCTCAGGGCTTGGTTGTCACATTCCTGTTCCCCAGATTGGTAGAGGATGGATGTGAGGGATGAGGGTCTGCTCAGTGTGGCCTAGCTTCAAGGCTGCTAAGAACTAGCTACCCTCTACACATGGGCTAGCCAGGGAAGGGCTTCCCTGCACCATCACTGTAGAAATACAAGGTGACAGACCACACTGACTCAAGTTCACAGGCTGGAGGGACTCTGTCCCCGAGGCTGCAGCCTCTTCACAGGCACAGAACAGATTCTATTCAGTGATTTATTAGCGTAAACTTCAGGTATAAACAAATTGTACAGAAAAGCCAATGGCCTTAGTTCTTCTCCAGACAGACTCCTGTGAATAGTAAAAGAACAGAGTAAGGAAGGAGAAACTATGGGCTGAACCAGGCTGGCCTAGGCCCAGAACATAACCACATAGGAAAGTAGCTAACTGAATTCCTCCAGAGGCCACCACCTTGTTTCCGCTAACCAGAATATGGTCAAGGACTTGGCATTTGTCTTTTTGCCTCTGTTTCCCATGCCTAGAACAGTGCCTGGCACATAGTAGGTGCTCAGTGGGTGGATAAATGTAGGATGCAATAGGCCCTCAAGAAGCCATTTGTAAGGAAGAGAATTTTATTTGTAAGAAAGAGAATTCATACTTAGAGTAATTTGCTCAAATCACAGCACTATGCTGCAGAGTTTAGACTTGACTCAGTCTACTTGCTGCCTCCCATGTGATTGACATACATATGGGTACATGAAACATTGCCCATGATCACAGACAATATGCACATGGAATGCTAATGTAAATATGTTGCACATGCAGTGATTGCATCTATGCAAACATGCATGTGCACACACAAGTGAATAGCCAATAATTTCCTTTTTCATCTGGCATCCACAGGGAGGGCTTCACTTAGGGAAGAGTTCTCTGTGCTTCCCACTGGCCTACCAAGCACACCCTTCAGAATGGCATGTCCTTACCCAGCCTCTAAGCCTCCCTCCAGGAAGCCAGGTTCAGCCTAGGGATGGAGGTACAGTTGACGAAGTCTCGTGGGTATGAGTTGGACATGAAGATGTTGTTCTTGGACACTGAGGTGACCCCAGTGTTGTCGCAGATGATGCGGGGCAAGCTGATGCTGGCCAGGGCCCGTCTCTGCTGTGCACTGAACACATCTGGCTTCTCCCACCAAAACCTGCACAGGAGCATCAACAGCTCCATGTCTGAGGATGTCCCAAGTGAGAGTACCGTGGCCTGGGAGGACATCCCCTGGCTTGAGCTGCCTCCTGGGTGTGAGAAGGCCATGGAAGATTCTGCCCTACAGTGTAGGAGAGCTCCAGGAGAGCACAGAAGACAGTTGCAGGGCTACTTGGGTACGCCCCTCGCTCCCGCCCAGCAGTCCCTGTGTCACACATGCAACCGACCACAAGGGTAGAAGATAACCTGGTGGTAAGTGGGCTTTGTCCTCCTTGATAGGGACACAGTCTTATAGTATTCCCAAAGGTGCTGCGCAAGCTAGATAAGAACTAGACACAGAGATAATCAGGGCCAACCATGATGGAATGACATGAAGCGGGGACAGTGGGAGAAATGAACTGTGACTATCCCATGGTGACTGACAGCTCGTGGTAATAACACTGAGAAACCCAGGGGAAATATTAAGAGCGGCATTTTGGGACCAGCAATGGCTCAGTGGTTAAAGGCACTTGCCACCAAGGCTGGTAGCCTGAGTACCATCTTTGAAACTCACACAGTAGACCCACTCCTGTACGTTGTCCACGTGAGAGCTGTGGTCTGCAAATGCACCCCCTCCAGCCCCACGCGTGTGTGCCACCCTGCCGACCCACGGCTCCCTTACCGATCGCCATCACGTAGCTTCCTAAACTGAGTGCCAATGAGACAGGCAAGGAGTTGACCTACTCGGCCATTGGGCTCCAGGGGTTCGGAGACACCGCCCATCCAGATGTCAATGTTGTTGGGTGTGCCATACTGTGCCATCAGCTTCTGTGCCAATCCCAGGTTCTTTAGAACCGTGCCAAGCTCGCCCACTGTGCTGGGTTGTGGAAGCCCACAGAAGCGTCTCCAGGCATTGTATCCTGCATTGGGTCAGAGAACAGGTAGCAGTAAAGGGACCCTACACGGACCATAAGCAGAATGGACGCCTGAATGAATGACTGGCTCAGACCAAAGTGGACAGCTGGGAGTCTCCAGACTTCTCGTCATCTTTTCCCTTCTCTCTCACTCTGACGCAAGCCCTATATTGCCACAGATCTTGCCATACTCAAGCATGGAAACAGCATATTGTCCCTGAGAATAGCCCGATGCTTCTCTCTCTGACCCAGAGAGAGAAAGTGGGTCTAGAGGTGTGGCCACTGGTGCTTCTCCACAACACAGGCTTGGGCTTTGGGGTCAGGATGATCCAGATCTGTCACTAACTTGGCTACAGTACCTAGCCAGGCTCTGAGCCCCTCTAAACCCTAGTTTCCTAATCAGCAAAATACCAGTGGTACTCTCCTGACCTGGAGTTCATGAATGAGTCAGAAGGAACTGATGATGGAGACAGGTTTCCAGATCATAGAACAGAACCTTCTTCAGATGCTAGTGCAGGATATAAGAGTCCAGCTTGGGAAGAAGCCATGAGAGGCTGAAATTTGGCAATGGGGGCCTGGAAAGGGCGGAGCCTGGGCTCAGGTGCCTCCTGAGAGCTGGAGAAAGGGCTCTGTGCAGGGAAGAGAGCTATGCACCATCTGGGAGGTAGGATGAGGCTGGAGCTGGCCCCTCACCTGGGAGGCCATGATCCCTGCTGCGTTGCATGTTCAGAGCCGGCAAGTCCAGCCCAATCCTCATGACCTGCTCAAAGAGTCGCTCCCGGATCTCATCCACCACAATCTGGTTCTGGCGATTCAGCTTGGCAGGGGTGGCCATGAGGCCTCTGAGGATGGGGTCAATGCCACCTGGGCACCAGCAAGTAAGGTGAAAGGAAGGATTAGCTTGCTACCAGATACCA